GATTTTTTTAAAAAGATTAAGGGCAAAATAGTAATTTAATGATTTCAAAAGTGATTTCGAAAATAGTTTCGGAAATAGTTTTGGAAATAGTTTCGGAAATGATTTCGGAAATGATTTTTAGGAAAATATATATATAAAGAGAGAGAAAGAATGAAAGTAGAGTGTTGTGACGTGTGTGGGTCAGACTGAGCCTGAGGGCTGATGCCCAGAATCAGTCCTGAGAAGTTATATATTGACTAGACTGAGCCAGAAGGTTGATGCCAGAATAAGTCAAATATTATTTTTATTTACCCGAATGAGCCGTGAGGACAGGTGGTCCAGAATCCGGCAAATGTGAATAAATTTTGTATGTTTGAATGGTACTCGGGGTGGTACAGAGTACATTAGTGTAATAACTATGTCGGAGGATTCTGAATGAGGTCCCAGACTTCACTGATTGGTCGGGTCAGGTAGACTACGAGATCAGGTGGTGAGAAGTCGATGGGGGGATGACTGGTGGCGCGCTCGGAGGGGTACTCCAGTATGAGTGATGAAGGGCGCCAGTAATCCTACTATGTGTGGAGAGTGGTCGAATGGTACTGCGGTACCGATCACAATGTGCCCACGGATGATAGCCTCCGAGTTCGGGCATAGTTAGGGTATACTTCCGGAAGGTGTCTTAGTGTGTTGATAATTTCGTAATTGATCATAATATATAATTATTACTTCTATATTTGTTTTATTATATCGAATGATTTAATACTTACCCCTATTTTTTCCATGTGGATGGGACTGCGATGATCACTTTTATGTGGGAGCAGATCAGGAGTTGAGAGATGGTGATGTGACTACTGGACAGCAGAGATAGTTCAGTGGGATAACTTCGAGAGAGCTACTTTTACATGTATAATATATAAATAAATTATGTTACTATATTTTGAAGTTCTGTTAGTGAACTGGAATTTCAATATATGTTACAATTACAGTAATATAATGTAAAATAGATGTTGTTATTTACTTGTTTACTACTTTGCGAAGACATCATTATAGTAGCGATTTCTAGGGTCGTTACACTACTAATTATTAAAGTCAACATAAATGAAAAAAATCAAAATGGTAAAAATTAAAAAAATATTTCTTTTGCTTGATATGAGATGTATATATATGTTAATAACAAATAATTTTTTTAGTTTATTATATTATGTATTTCTCGTAATATATCATATAAAAAATAATTTGAAATTGAAATTCAATATTAATTTTCCATAAATTATTTGCGTTCATTTATTAATAGGTTTGTGTGAACATGTACAAACACTTGAAATAATTAAGTTAGTACGGGATAGATTAATATATATATATATATATATATATATATATATATATATATATATATATAAAATATGGTGTTTTATAAAATATTAAGTTATTATTATTTAAATTAAATTAATTTATATAATTTTGTATTTTTATTATTATAAATGTGATGGAAATACAGGAAGATTTAAGGATAACAATTAAATTCATATTTATTATTATTGAAAGTGGGGTTAGGTTTTATTCACTTTCTCATTTTGATTCTGTTCAGATTTTATATTAAAAATTAAAATTTTAAAATATTAATATTTTAAAACTTTTTATTTTTCGTTATATATAAAATAATTTCTTTTTTTATATTTCATCAGTTTTACTTTTCTTCTACTACTTTTTAATTTTTTTGTCTTTTTTAATCTTTTAAATTAGTTAATTATATTATTTTTTCCCTTATCTTTCACTTTTCTATATTTCCTTAATCTCTCAAATTAATTAATTTTCTACTAATATTTTCAATCAATTTCACAAACACAAAGTTAATTTTCTTTTTTATCTTTTTTAAATATTATACATAAATCTTAGTAGTAACTAATATTATTTTATTTATAATTTATTTTTATTAAGTTTTATTATTATTTTTTATCATATATTAAATTTTATTTTAATAAAATAATTGTATTTTAAAAGATTAAAAAAATTAATAATTTAAATATTTATTACATTAAACTAATTAAATAAAAATTAATTTATTAAATATTTTATTATAAATTATATATTCCATATCTTTAATCCACAACATAAAAACAAATTAATTTATATATATAATTATATATTTAAATAATAATAATAATAATAATAATTTATATTTATATAAAAAAAATGATTAAATATTTTTTCTATATATATATATATATTTTAATATAAATATAATAAATTAAAAAATATATTTAATTCATAATAATTACAAATTATAAAATTAAAATTATTTATTTATATATAAAAAATACATAAAAAAATTAAAATTAATTTATTATAAATATAATCATTAAAAAATATTACAAATTATAAAATTAAAATTATTTATTTATATAAAAAAATACATAAAAAATATTAAAATTAATTTATTATAAATATAATCATTAAAAAATATTACAGATGGGAAACCCAAAATCTAAAATTCAAAAAAATGGAACTTAACTTTTAACCTAAGACGGTTAAAAAAATTGGGCGCCCTATCCCGTCCCAATGACATACCTAATATTAGACCTAGAGTTAAATAAAAAGAAATAAAAAATTTATTTTGAAATATATTATATATGCTTTATAAATTTATGATTATAGGTTTTGGGCTGTTATACTCCACAAAGTTTCTTGTGTTATGCATTAACCACTGGTCAACACAAAAAACCAACACTTGCGTTACGAGTTTTCCGTGGCACTAATAAGTTAATTAATTGCATTGTAAAACCCTTGAATTTATGGACAAGTAAAAACTTTACGATGTTGTTTTATCGATTTACGTATCACAAACCCACTTATCATGTTATTTATTGAACACTGCATCATAAAATGTGGGGGCACTACAATCATTCCTACTCATTCGTTTTCCGATGCTTCAATAAATGTTCTTTAAAAGTTAAACCTATCGGATTGGAGGGTGGATAAAGATACTGTGTTTCCTTAGTTTTTTTTTTTTAAACATGATAACCGAATTAAAACCATGTTTGAAATATTACTATGATAAATATATAAAAACCCAGTGATTCTTTGTTTAACTATTAAATTGTAAAAATATAAGTTATATAAAATCAAGATTGAACTCTTCTTACATAGTTTAATTACAGTTTATAACTTAATTATCAATTTCACCGTTCTATGTTTTACCAATGGTAAAGTATTGTTATATATTTAATTTAACATATAAATCTGTATAATATTTATGGTTATTATGTTACAATTACAAAAACATTTTTCATTTTTTATGCTGAAGATGCTGCGTCTTAGGTTTGAATTCTTCGCGATTAGAATGTTTGGAACCAACAACATTATGTAATAAAGGGCTTAATATATATTATTATATGGTTGAAAAGAAGATTCAAACCGCCACTACGAATATTATATTATATAAATATTGAAAACTATGGTCGTTGATATAACTACCATACCTTTCTTTATTCCACTTGTGATCCCAAGGAACTAGTGGAACCATAGCTTATGTATCAATTGATTAAGATTTTTCCAAACAGAAAATTGCATTCCCATGGAAAATAAAATTGATGCCATATTTTGCACACTATCAATATATGGATTATGTCACAACATTTCATACGAAATCTCATTAATATAAACATCCTTAAATATTTGTGTTCGCTTTGTTGAGGACTAATATGCCTGCCTGATCATGCACACTTTTCTAGTTACAACGAATGGAATGAGATGAGAAAGAAAGAAAGAAGCGGAATTGGTTGAGAATAAGTTTTTAATTGGGGCTTAAAGCCACTTAATAGGTTGCCCCATGGCCCATCATCATATCAATTCCACTTCGGCCCGTTTTGACCGAAATCTGTTGTGAGTTTATAAATCCAAAACAGTTATTGTTTTTCAGTGCTATCAAGGATATGTTTGGATACGTTTCTTTAAAAGACTTATAGAAAAAAATATTTCATAAACTGAAATTAGTTTATACATAAATTAATTTGTGATTTTTTTTTGGATAACATATGTTTTTCATACAATAATTGTCATAAATACTTGTGTTTAGAACAATTAAATATTTTTGTTTAATTTTTATACATTATGAACTATTCTATTAAATTTTTAATCATAGTTAATTTTATATTAAATGATCTTTATGTTCATTCTGTGAATTTAAATATCATTTTAACAATTTCTGCGAAAACACATTGTTCAAAATTCCTAAAGAAAAACTTAATAACTTAATGACTCTAATAATACAAATCTTTAGTCATAATCTTCCATGAAATCATTTTTTTTTTATATATTATATATATATATATATATATATATATTATTTGTGTACGTGATATAAAATAAATTATTTTTAGCAGTGAAAATTAAAATCTTAAGGAAATATTTAATATGATATAATAAATCAAAAAAATATTTTAATTGTACTAAACATAAATATTTGTCATTTTTATTCTATCAAAAATATATTTTACCTAATTCTTTTATACATATTTTTAAATTTATACATAAATGAATTTTCATTATCATTACCGTAGTTGATTTTCTGATGAATTAGGTGCTTTTCAATAAGTAGTTTAATTAAACACAGTCAATAGTAAAACTTCACTACGAAAATAAACTTAAAACAAACTTATAGTAAGGTTATAAGCCACTTTAATACCATAAACCAGATCCATTTAAGCTCCTCTTTCAAACATTCACTTTAGAACTCTTTTAACCTCTTTCCACTACGTGTAATTCTTTGCTTCAGATAATAAGTCCACACAGAAAAGGAGAACCACATTATGGTTATTTGAGATTCTACTTTACAACAATTGTAAGATAATCATGTTGTTATCTAACCTATACAAGATGATAGATATAATGTGTGATTGAAGAACCTGAACAAACAAAACTCACACAAGGCAACAAAATGAAATGACAACTTTCCTTTCTAGACATGTTATAGACAGTAGATATACAGTTCAATCAAAATGGGAGAAAAATAATGCACTTCATCAGTGGTTTTGAAGCCAATCCTGGATTGCAGAGCGAAGAGCACGATTGGCAACAAGATTGTGATGTGCAAGCTTACTATTAGTCATTGGTGAGTTGTCGTTACCACCATCAAGCCATCCTCGTATAGCTTCAGCTTCATACGTAAAACCATCTGCAGCCACATGTGGGTCTCGCATGACTTCCTACAAATAGGAACACATGCAGGAGGATTTTCTCAGATAGCAGTTTTATATTCAAAGTTATATAACTCCACTGACTGGAAACTACTTTGCAAGAAAAGAAAATAAAAATATAAACAAGGGGATTTGACTACTCTAAAGTTAGCAACTCACTTAAGAAGGTAAAATAAGTAATCTCAGTTGTTGATGAGAAAATTTTCAGCTGATATTTCAATATATCCATTATTTGTTATGCATGTACAGGTTATATTCACCATTGATTTCTTGTCAACGACTGAAACTACCTACTCATCCTATAAAACGAGTCCTTAACTTCAGAGGTGTTGAATCCTAAAAAAGGGAAACCCTGTGCACTAAGCTTTGGAGAAGCTGTTTCCAGCATTTGAACCCATGACCTCCAGGTCAAAAGTTAGAGATGTTATAGCATGAATAAATAAATAATGCAGAATAAGAAAATGTAAGCTTGAAATTTTGATCAAACTTCGAAATGAAATGAGAATTAGGATGAGTTTCATCTCCTTAGACAAGTATTCATTGGAGCAGAGATTCTACAACAGCAGGAGGCAATAATATTTTAAAAGGAGACTCAAAACAGAGGTAGACAGGGCTAGTTACCTGGAAGATCGGGCAAATAAAATATGATGGAGGTTGTGAGAGCTCTTCAGAACTTAGTCCAAAGGTGTTTGTGCCTCCAGAAGAAACTCTCATTGCCTCAAGGACCCTCCAGACATCTGAATAAAGATCTGGCCGGTTCTTTCGATTCATATCACAACATCTCAAAGCCAAGCGAGCCAATTGTTCAGCTTGCACAAATGGCCAGTCTCCAGCCAAAGGATCCAATAGGGATTTCAACTTTCCAGTATCTAATGCATATTTCACTTCCTTTATTATTCCCAAGGCTGGTCTCCCAGTCAATAATCTCAACAATATAATTCCAAATGAATAAACATCTGACTTTGGAGTAAGTTCCCCTGAGGCAAGGAATTCAGGATCCATGTAGACAAATGTTCCCTTTGGGTCAGTTCTCCAAAACTGTGTAGAATTGGTACTAGAACTCTCGAAGTTTGATAATATTCGACAGATTCCAAAGTCGCTAAGCTTGCTAATAAGGTTTGCATCGAGAAGAATGTTGGAGGGTTTCAAGTCACCATGCACTATGCTGTGAGGTTTACTGGAATGGAGAAAGATGAGGGCAGAGCATAGTTCAGCAGCAATGCGAATTCGAGTTTGCCACGACAACGGAGAGGTGTTATCCTTGCAGGCAAGGCGGTCTTCGAGACTTCCATTGGGTAAATACTCATAGACAAGAGCCCATGATTCTGGGCAGGCTCCTATGAGTGTGACAAGATTGGGATGCCTTAGCTTGCTCAACACATCAACCTGATAAAAAAATCCAAAGTGGGGTTAAAATAAATATCCTTTTTACAAAAATCTAGATTACAAACCCGTCATTCATACCTTTATGCCAACTCTTGTCTCAGTTTTTTTTTACTGATATGAAATTGATAATATATTATGCCAAGAACCAGCAAACACAAGCTTTAAAAAAAAAAATGCAAAACATGGGAGTTTGGATTTTAGGAGAAATTAAAAATCTGTTCAAATTTTGGCTGCCAACTCTTGTCTCAGTTTTTTTTACTGATATGAAATACTTAAAATGTAATCTGCAGGTTACAGGAAAGATCAGTTAAGGGCAAATTTATTTTATTCTTTGACTTTCACACAAGATTTTTCAAAGTGCTACCTCCTGCATGACAAAAAATTATTGATGATTAAAGTAAGATATTTAAACTATCACATAAAAATCAAACCATCTCACCTCCTGTTGAAATTCCAAGGGTCCTTGCATGCTGTTGGAGTGCAACCTTTTTATAGCCACCTCAGTGTATCTCAAGATACCTTTAAATATACTTCCATATCCACCTTCTCCAATTTTTAAGGATGGATTGAAGTTACTTGTTGCTTCTTTAATCTCTGAAAAAGAGAATTCAGAGAAAAATTGAGACACATGGGTGCATGAGGCCTCTCCTTGCTTTTTCCTCAACTCTTCAGCTTCTCTCAATGCATTATCGCACTGCATCTGCAATTCCTCACGTTCATTCTTGTAGCTTTGTAACAGATCCACAGCAGATACGATCTTCTGCTCCAGCTCCTTTATGACAAGTTCAGATGATGAAATTTGACTCTCTAGAGTTGCCTTCTGATCTAGGGCAAGGCGGAGTTCTTCCTTAACCTTGTCTCTCAGCCCCTTCACATTCTCAAGTTCTTCTTTTTCTTTCCTAAGTTCTTCCTCTGCCATTTTCCTCAGGTTCAACTCCTCTGTATATAAGCTTTCAGAAGCTTTAGCCTGTCAAGTGAGTAGTTCAAACATTGATACGGATTAGAGGTGGTATCAAGCTGTAACAATGGCCTATTACTAGATAACAGAACTTACAATAATTCCTATTGTTAGGAACCCAGATTAGAAAATAGAAGAAAGATTGTATTTCTTGATCGCAAAGGATATGGGATAGAAGGGATATCTCACGTCCAAAGATTTCCCCTTCCACAAAAAACAGAAGCTCAATTTTACAAAAGAACAATTCTGAGTTTATTCCCTCCATCCCCCCCCCCCCGACTCCCCTTTCGGTTCACTAGTCACTACTTTAACAAACACTCTCTTGTGCCCAATGTCCCAGAACCTATTCATTCAAATGACCATTAGCATTGGTTAAGGTTGATTCCTACTGGATACAGACAATAAACAATTGACAAATCATCTTTTTCAGTTACCTTGCGTATAGCTTCAAATGCATCTTTTTCAGCTTTCCTACGCCTTACAGTTTCCTGATACGCATTTAGCGAAGCATTCTCAGCCTCAGCCATAGCCTGTTGAAGCTGGTCGTAGATAGTATCATCCATTCCACCATCCTGCTAGTGTTCAATCAAATTATTTTAAAACATCAGCATAAATCTTGGGAATTAAAACTCTTTTCCTTATTGCCAATTTAGCAAATAAAAATGCCTTTAATCAATTGCAAACTTGACATTGCAAAAATATGCACATGCTTCACAACAGACACGGTCATTACTGAAGAAGAAAATAATATTTGTGCATACCAGTGTACTAGAAGGGGATGAATGATGGAGATCCTCCATAACCAGCTGACTCAAAGTCAACTCTAGTGCATTCTCACTGCTTTCAGTAATCAATCTTGGGGCCAAAGCTAGCTCAACTGTACTATCAGAGCATGTTGACAAACTGGAAGGACTCATCCTTGACAGCCTATCTGATTCATCAGAACTTACTTTTGTACCCATCCTGTCCCGTGGAGTTGAAAACCCTTCACTTTCTTCTGGAGAAGAAACAGCCACAAAACTTGCTCCATGTTCATTGGCAGACCTTACTCTACGTAACAAATCTAGAGCATGATTAGTTAGATTTGCTCCGCGATCTTGCCCCAGTGTGACAGATTGAGATCTCAAAGTTCTCACAGAGTTTGGTGCAGGCACTTGCTGCACCAAAGGAGAAGCAACCTCTGCATTACCTTCCTCCAAACTGAGATCCCTGTGTTAATATGTAACATCAGGAAATCAGTACCAGAAATAATAAATTCCAAGTGCAATGACACTATTGGGGAGATAATTTTAGCACAATATACCATACAAGTTAGTTAAATTGAGAAACAAGCTATTCGATAAAGAATTAGAACTCGCTTAACAACTTGAAAAAGAATATTAGAAATTGAGTTTTATTATCTGATAATATGAATAGACTAAATATAGGGAGACTGGTCCTAATATGTTTAGGCTACAGCTTTGTCACAATTACAATTAAAATAGGAAAGTAAATAACAAGTAAATTCACAACAGTTCCAAAGGCGGTGGGTGGGCTGGACAATGGTCCAAACAGTGAGAGGAGATCCAAACAAACAGAATGGAACTGGTTCAATAGTGTGGAATAGCAGCTAAGGTGGCATCACATGGTGGTCATGCACTAGAAAAACACCCCCCAGTCAGGAAGAAACCAGTGACAGTGACAATGGTGGCAATGAGGTTCCAATGTGCAATTAAAGTGTTGGAACTACGTCCTGAGTGCAATAAAGGTTCACTAGAGAAAACTTATTTAGGGTTTGATGTAGTGACCAAAGACACGGATACATTGTATTTATAGAAAAAAAAATGGTACAATAGAGAGGATATGGGCCTTAGCCCAAACCCTTAACCTTTCCTAGTCTAAGGAACATTGAAAAAGAATACTAAAAGATACATAAACAATAGATCTCAACACTCCTCCTCAAGCTGGAGCATACAAATTGTATGTACCAAGTTTGGAACAAATGAATTGAATCCTAGATCTTCTTAAGGATTTAATTAAAATATCTGTCAGTTGCTCATTAGAGCTTACAAATTCAGTTACAAGTTTCTTAGATAGCAACTTCTCTCTAACAAAATGACAATCAATCTCAATATGTTTTGTTGTTTCGTGAAAGATTGGGTTGGAGGCAATATGGAGAGCTGCCTGATTATCACACAATAACTTCATTTGCCCAATATCACAAAATTTTAAATCTTGAAGGAGTTGTTTGATCTACACAAGTTCACATGTAACAAGTATCATAGATCTATACTTAGTTTCTGCACTAGGTCGAGCAATAACACTTTGTTTTTTACTCTTCCAAGAAATCAAATTTCCTCCAATAAAGATACAATACCCAGTAGTCGATCTTCTATCAATTGGACAACCAGCTCAGTCTGCATCACAATAATCAAGAATTTGAGTATTACCTTTATCTTCATATAACAACCCTTGTCCTGGGGCCCCCTTAATATATCTCAGAATGCAAATCAAGGCATCCCAATGATCAACACAAGGATTTTGCATGAATTGACTAATTACTTCAACTGCATAAGAAAGATTCGGTCTGGTAATAGTAAGATAAAAAAGTTTACCAACCAACCTCCTATATCTTTTTGGATCTGACAACTTTTCTCCTTCATCCTTCATCAATTTCTGGTTAGGGTCCATTGGGGTATTAATGAGCTTACAATTTGTTAGACCAATCTCCTTCAGAATATCAAGAGCATACTTCCTTTGAGAGATGATCACACCTTCTTTTGATTGGGCCACTTCAATACCAAGAAAATATTTCAATTGACCAAGATCTTTGGTTTAGAAGTGAGCAAACAGATGATTCTTCAGTTGGCTAATCTTAGTCTAATCATTGCCTATAATAACAATATCATCAATATAAACCATAAGATATACACACTTGCCTGAAGAGGAATGAAAATAAAACACTGAGTGATCTGCTTCACTCCTTTTCATGCCAAACAGCTATACAACATTGCTGAATTTTCCAAATCAAGCTGAAAATCAGTCTATTTCCATTTTTCGGCTTTATCAACACCTTACTCCCATCTTGTACAAGGTGATCATGTAGACCTTGGCCAAGGAACATAGTTCAACTGAGGTAGACCAAGATAGATAATTTTTTCCATTCAACTTTTCAGCAGTAATTGAAGAAGTTCCTGAGAAGGATAAAACAGCTACATAGGACATTTTTTATAATATCAACTTGCAGCTTTAGGTTTAGCTTAGGAAACCTAGAAACAAATCTTCAAGTAAGCAGGAAAGAAGGACCTAATGATTGGAACAGGGGCAGGGAGGTCCGGTGATAGACGATAGTCAACAATGGCGGACGGCCAGCGACGGACGACGGCGGCCGGAGGACAATAGACTAGCAGAGTGGGATTAACCCACTCTGATACCAACTTAAGATAAAATAAAAGAGAGAAAATAGTTTTTAGAGGGCATAATCACACCTCTACCATGATATCTGATTTATAATGATAAGAACAAATACACTGAGTAGATGAAAGGTCAAGGGGCAGAATTTTGAGCTAGAAGTTATAGGTATAGAGATAGGTACAACTAATTAATAATTCCAACAACTAATTAATAATTTCAATAAACATGTTACAAATAAAAAATGAAATAATGATGAGATAAAAAAAAAGTGTTGAAACATAGTATTCCAGGACTACAAACCTTCCTTATTAATTATATTTATCTTTCATAAGACACTATATGCATGAATATCAAAACACATTAATCTTTTTGGATTTCATGTACCTTGAGTGTATAAGGTGCCCTTTGCAGACAAACTGTATGTGACAAGAAGGTGGAGCTTGTTTACTCACATAGATAGCTTTCCTAGATCTAAGGTCCACCATTCTCCTGCAATGTCATGCAAATAAGCCACTGATTGAAAACATAATATTTACTTCATCAAAACAAACAGATATAAGAATTGGGAAATTATCAAAAGATCTAGTTCATCATCAGAACAAAACAAAAGAAAGCATAGATTTAGCAGAATTACGCATGGATAAGAATTGGGAAAGGGATATGATGGCTCCAGACATCCAAAACACTTTGGGAGAATAGAATGAAATTGAAGAGGTATAGATACAGCTAAAATTGCCACTGAACTAGTTATCATAAAATTGGACAAACATCTCCATAAGCAGTTCTGAGAGAAAACTAAAGAAAAAATGAATGAACTTCTCCATAAGCTAATTCATAGAAGCTCTCATATATAGTTTCTCTAAATTCCTATTTCAAAGTTGTGCATAAGCTGATTTTAGCTTATGAAGAAGTTCATTTCAAATTTTATATTCCTCTTTTATAGTTGCTTCTGGAGAGGCTTGTCCAAACAATCATGTCATGTTTTATTAAGTTCCACCCTAGAAAGTATGGCTATTTGCATGCTGTCCACAAAAATAGCAATTATTTATCTTATTCCTTACAAAAGTATTCTTCAATACTTTTTACATTACATTATCATCTGAATTTTGCTTGACAATGTGGTCAGAATAAAAATGTGGTAGGGGAAGGGGGTTATTTGGTTTCTTACCTATTATAGTACTTATCAGAAGCTGCTCCCATTACAAGCTTTTGGATGTTGTGTTGAGATATAAGCTCTAAAATTCCTTTTTCAATGCTATCCATTTCAATAGCCAGTTTCTCTGCTCGCACCTATATCAAGAAAGTTATTAGTGCATATTAAATAACTTTCTAAATACATATACACGTAGAATTACAATAACTACCCCCATCCGTTGACAGATTCGAAGATATTCGTCCAGAGTCCTACGCATGCCTTGCCTTTCTTCTTCCCAATATGATTGAACCTGCTCCTCTTTTAGTGCACTTACAGGGAATCTACCTCCCACTGTAAACAAGAAAATGGAAGTTTTAGACCATCATGTATGAATAGAAAAACAGCAGAGCAGATAAAATTCACAACAGTTACTATATATTATTAAACCTAACTTTGTTTCCTGATAACAGCTACGTCAGCAATAAACCAATACAACAAGTGGTCATTTTGACAACTGCTACCGAACAACGTCTTACAGTTCAGACATCAAAACTAAAAAAAAAAAGACATATGAAGCTTATAACTAGATTTTTGAAGTTGGCCTGATTATTTCATGAGCCTTATTTGGTTCTAATTTCAGATTACCATATCATTTCTAATTGGCAATAATGAGTGCACTTTAGAGTGCACCACCTTTAGAAGAGTCAAATCCATTGTATTACAAACAGTTACACTGAGCCCAAGTTGAGTTAGTTCAGCTGATAGAAAATTTCATGATAAAGAATTAAGCTATTTAAGGAATCAAAGAACAAATACATAAGAGAAGCATAGTATATACATACGTAGGGGGATCATTGATGCACGAACATGAACATAAAGAATGCAAATTCTCTTTCCACCGGAGTGCTGTATTGCCCATATCAGATTTAATTTGCTTTCCTTCACTTCTTTTGTCACAGCAACATAGATTGGCTCATCAACCACACCTGGATTAGGCTCCTCAAAAATTTCCCCACCAACGTCAGAAGGTGACCTCACAGAACCCATCCTTTGTGTTGTTGCAGGCACAGGACTCACCACAGCCATCCTAGGAGATGAGAATTACAGATGAACCACTAAAAAGTAAATAAAGAACTCAACTTTCTCTCTCATTCTCCAAAAAATCTCTCTCTCTCTCTCTCTCTCTCTCTCAACAATTGGCAATTATCTCTATAAACAGCCCCACCCTAACTACTAATCTATTTCCATACCCAGAAATTAACGATCAACTACTCTCTCTCTCTCTCTCTTTCTCTCTGCCAAAAAAAGTTCAACTTTCTCTCCCAACAGTTGGTAATTGTCTCTATATTCCCCATCACTATCAAACCCAGAAATTAATCATCAAAATCTCTCAAACCCACCAAAAATTCTTTCTATAGGACTCAAGAAACCCAACAAAACATAGAAAATTCTTCTGTCTGGAATTTGAAAATAAAATGCTCAAGAAAACCTTCACCCAAATAACAAAGAGACAGAAAGCAAAAACAAAACAAAAATCTTAACCTTCCCTTTGCTCTATACCCAACACAATTCACTTATTCTCAGACAAACTCATTTTGATGGGAAAGGTAAGCCATGAAGTGATATAAAGGAGAAGTTTTAATGGTGTTGTTGGGAATTTGAGTTAATACGGCTGGACGGTCTATCTTACAGTTTACCTAGAGATTGGATGACCCGCATGAAAAGAGTACAACCTTCTCTTAACCTTCTCAAAATCATTGTAGCAGAAAATTTCTTCAATTTAATAAAGAAAATTTGATACCACAGATGGAAAGAGAATGTACACTGTTGACTAAATTATTGAGTAGAAAATTTATAATTTGGTAAATAATTAAGAAAAATGTTGCAAATACAATTTATGTGGTATAAGGAAGTGAAAATTGAAAAGAAAAATAAGAGAAATTGAGATATATAATGTGTGATGTAATGAAAAGACAGAAAAATAAACAGAAACCTCAGATGTCATGTTATCTTTAATAACAGTTTTTTTCTTATAATTATATTTTAATAGATAATTTTATATTTTAAAAAATAAAAAGTTAATAAATAGGTATATCCTTTATAGTTACATGTGAATCAAATATTGAATTTGGAAGAAATATGAAGAAAAAAAAGATAATTGAAGTGAAAATTTTATATAATCTCTTCATTTTAAATTAATAACTACAAACATTTTTTTTAATCATTTTTCTTTTTTTTATAAATATTATTTTAATGGGAAAGAAATCTAAACAGTAGTATTTTAATTGATAAATTTCTTAAGTTACTCTTTTTTAATAATTGATTGTAAGCTCTAATGAAATAAAGATTAATTTAAAATAATTTTATATATTCATGAATAATATTATATATTCATATTATGAAACTAATTTGAACTAAATCATAAGCGATGAACAATTCTTATAGAATAAATCATTATTTTACTATAACCTCGTGTATGTTTTTTACACCTCCACCACAGGGTATACATTAACAAATTGTATTTAAATACATTAATTTGTAAGTATATTATACATTCAAAAGAATTATAAATGTATATTAAATATAAAAATATAATTTCAAAATATATTACACCATAAATATCATCGTGCAACGAATAATAGAAATTATTTTCTAGTCACAATCCAAAAAATATGATATTTATAAAAAAAATTAAAATAAAAAAATAATACTTGATATATATATATAAATCCAAAACAACTTAATGACAAATGGTATATTTTTATGAAATACGTTTACTTCTTGAAATTATGTTAAAATGTTATTACTTTCAATATATATATTTTTCATTATTTGCTAATAAAATAGATAGATATTCATTATAAAAAATTAACTATTATTAATTAAAATAATGAAATTTTTTTAAGTAATTTATTAGTGGATGGATGGTTTAGTTAAGTGAAGCTTAATTTTTTATTTTTAAGTTAAATAAATTTAAATAGAAATTCATAATTATTTAAACTTTAATTTTATAAAATTATTATTTATAACTTTTAAATATTTAAATATTGTCACTCATTTTTCATCTAAGCATGGTGCAGTGTTTCTAATAGAAAAAAAATACTTCAATTTAATCATTTTTTAAAAATAAGTTTCTCTTTACTTATTTATTTCTAAATTGATTTACACATACATATTTATATATGATTTGAAATTCTTAAACAAAGATGAAATTTAATATTTTATTTATCAATTAATATTTTTTTATAAACAAGTTTATAAATCCTATATAATTTATAAGTTTGAAAATTTTCTCACCTTAAGAACTAAATACAAGTAAGAAAACTTTTTTTTTTAATTTCATACTATTTTATATTAAATAATATAAATAAATTAAAATAAATTGATTATTAGGATTGTTTTTATAAATGAAATTGAAATTAAATAATATTATATAATCTGAATTATTTTATTTATCATTTATTAATTTGTTTTTAACAAGTTTTGAGTATTTTATGATTATATGAAAGAAAATAATATATATATATATATATATATATATATATATATATATATAACATAATTTATAGTAGAATGATTTATAAAATATGTCATATTTTTCGACAATTTGATATTTATATATTTTTGTTAGAACAAAAGTTAGAGGCCCAGGAAATTTTATAATAAAATTTTGTTTATATTTTATAGTATAATTTGAATCATATAGGAAGCAAGTCATTCTTGCCTACAAATTTTATAATACATTTAAACTATCTTATATAGATATAGGATGTTTTATATTATAAAATAGTATAATTTTATTTGTTAAGAATAATGTTAAAATTTAAATATTTTATTAAGAATAAAATTAAATATTTTATTATAAATTTTATATTTGATTTATTTAAAAATAAAAAAATGTATTTATATATAAATGTTTAATTAGATTTTAAATTACGGGAAACTCACAATAAAATAATTTTATTCACTCTTAAATAAATTTTATCGAAAACGTTTTTAAAAAATGTCTTAATAAAAAAATTAATATAAAAGTTTATAAGAAAATGTAAAAAAAATAACAGTGTAATTTTTCTAAAATAAAAATTTAATTTCATAGCATGAAAATATTCCTATGACATTTTTTTCTTTTTTATTGGCATGTCCTAAAAATGCAGGAAAAAAAAGAGTAAAACTAGTCAAACAATTCCAAGATGACCCACTTTTATCATTGAAAATCAGTAGGAAACTTCAAGGAATGAAAGGTGGGACTCGCGTGCTTACAAATGTTTGACTTTTCTCAAAGTTTAATGTATCAAGAAGAATATGAATTTTTTAAGAATATTTACACTATAAATTATAATTATAATTGAAATTTTATTTTATTTTATATTGAGTGCATGAATTAACGTAGATTCATAAAATAATAAAATTATTTTAAGAAACTGTTAATAAAAAATATAAATACCATGACCAACTCAAACTAATTCTCCATTAAACTAACTATTTTTATGTTTTTTTAAGTGTAATCTTAAATGTAATTGTTTTATTTATTCAATCTACAATTTTTTTAATACACATATTTTAAACTCCAATTTATAAAACCCTGTTATTTTGATTCAATATTTAACTATGCTGGGTTTAGAATTCAAATAAATAAAACATTTACAAAAATTGAGAATTACGAAAAGTTTAAAATTATGGACTTTTTTTTTCAAAAAAATGTAAATATTCTTAGTTTAAAATGGAAAACCCAAAATTATTGATTAAGCAAAATAAGAAGAGAAAATAAATTAATCTTTGACTTTATTCACGGGATAATTGTCCACAAAACAATTGTAGGTAGCACAAATTATTGAGGTAAGTGTTGACGAAAAATTCGACGGAAATCAATTGTACTAGGTACTTCACATTCTTGAAGAAATATTGTTTTATTATTAAAACATTAAAAAAAAGTGCAAATAAATTAAATATTACATACAATATAAATATTTTAAAATTAACATGCACATGTGTCAGAAGTAGTTGGGGAATGTAGTGTCCTATATCCAACTTACTTGCCATTGACTTGCAATATAAGAATTTCTATACGGTGGGATGATATAATTTATATAATAAGAACTTTATTATAATTTTTGAAAAAATAAAAATTAAAAACCTTAAGTAATACAATAGAAATGTAAAATGAATATGTAAAATATTATTATTTATTCTAAAAATAATATCACAAAATGCTGTAAGAGTCTTGTCTTATTATCTAAGATTGTTTTTTCATAAGAAGCAATTAATAGGAAAGACCAAATTACATGGTCCTGTTTTTGGAACGCGGTTTCTACGCTTATATTCTTTTTGGTGGTTGAGAATGAAATGTTTCTCTTTTACTTAAAAATAGATCTATCAGGTAAACAAAATCAGATAGCATTTTTTTTTTCTAAGAAACAATAATTTTTAAGAAAAGAACTTCAACCAACCTATGAAATTTTATTATTTATTAAATATTTTCAGATTGACTATTTATATTAAATAATATTAATTTCCAAGGTCCCTCATACCCCACCTAAAGAAAAATCCTCTAAGCTTTTCAATCACACAAATATTTTGTTTTATTTATCATTTTAATTTTTTTTTTAATAACTTCATGAAAGGGAATTCATACCCAACTTGTGTTTGGATTTATTGTCTGGGTGAGTGTTGAGGAATATCTCCTATGTGAAGGTGTTACGAAATTTAGGGAATTTTTTTCCCGCTTATCATTATTTTAACATAAATTTTCATGTAGGTAATATTTACATTACTAGCACATTTTTATAAAAAATTAAATATTTTTATAATTTTTTTCTTCATTAGCATCCTATTAAATTTATAATTTTAAAATAACATTATTCTATCAATATTTATTATTCTATCAATATTTATCTGACTAACACAATTTTTTTATATAGTTGGAGACCGAATTTCAACCTCACTAATTAATATAATTTTAAAAATAAAATAATATTTATTAAATATAATAATTAAATATATATATATATATATATATATTTATATAAAAAATATATATAAATATTATATATATATATATATATATATATATATTCTTTTAAAAAAATTATTTATATAATTATATTATTAATATATTTTTATAAATATAGTAAAAACAACTATATTTAATATATATATATATATATAATATTTAAATATTTATTTATATTTTTATAAATATAATAAAATATAATAAATATATATTTATATCTTTCTATATAACATTTTTAAATAAATAAATTATATATATTATTTAAATATATTTTTAATATAAAATAATTTTAATAAGTAAACATAATATTTTTTTATAGAAATATATAAATATTTTTATTATATTTTAATATATTTTTACTATATTTATAAAAAATATATTAATAATATAATTATATAAATATATTTTTATGTTATTTTAAAAAAAAATATATATATATATATATATTTATTTCATATAATTATATAAATATTTTTTTTAAATATATATATACTATTTATATATTTATTTTATATAATATATATATATATATATTTTATATAAAATATATATATTTATATTTAATTATTATATTTAATAAATATTATTTTAATTTAAAAATTATATTAATTAGTGAGGTTAAAATTTGGCCTCGTGGTAACCGAATTCCAATCGTGTATGTAAAAACTAGTTACGTAAATATTGATAGAATAATGTTATTTCTAAATTATAAATTTAATAATATGCTAGTGAGGTAAATATTAATAAAATAATGTTATTTCTGAATTATAAATTTAATAGCATATTAAAAAAAAACAAATCAAATTTAAGAAACAAGGTCAAACAAAAATCTATAGTTATTAGTTTAAAGTATTATTTATTTGTTTGACTTTCTAATTCATAACAATATATATGATGTAAGTTTAAATTATAAATAATAGTTAGATACTTTATAATCTTATCCTAAATATTATTGTTAGGGATTGCATTTAACTTTTATAGGCACTGCGTTCTATTAATTTAATAGTTGGATTTGTCGCAACTAACTACAAATTATACTAACAACACTACATAGTTATAAACATTTAATTTATCTAAAATTTAACAAATATAACTATCAAAACAATATAGCAACCAAAAAGACTTACACATCTAGTTGTGAAACTTGAGTTTGATTATAACATTTTTCTTATTGGTAAATGATATATAAGTTTCATTATAATTTCTCAAATAAGACGAGTTTACTTTTAACACGAGGAAAACTAATTAAAAAAACACGTGATTCACTAAATCGGGTTCAACTCACTTAATTCAATTTTAAATAGGTTCAATTAGGGTATCACTATCATACTTATATTTTTAAATTAGATAAAAGTAAAAAGTAGTGTATATATTATAATACATTAAAGTTTTATAGCATGTTAAATCATGTTTGAAATTTAAAATTTTAAAAGAGATGCTAAAAGAATGAAACTGATAGAAAAAAAATAGTGTTCCATAATGTTGAAGCCCAGTAAGTAGCCAACGAAGTATTTTCTTTACCAAATGGGCCATTTTTGCGCAGAGTATGATAATAAAATAAAGGCTCCTTCTATTTACAATATCGTTTTTCCTAAAGGAAACCCATTTTAAATTTTTATTTAAAGTGATATATTTATGTTCCGAAAAAATATTTTTCATAACATATAAAGTTAAATATGTATTTTAAATAAATATTAAAATAGGGTGGATTTAGCTGCATGGGGAGTGTAAATGGGCCATCTTAAATAAATCTAAGGTGTAAATGAGAAAATGTTTCCCCCCAAAAAAATAATGATAGAAAAATTGTGGTAGAATAAATTATTACTGATTTGGTGGAAAATGTTTGAAAGAAAATGTTAGGAAATATTAAATTACAGTTTTACTCTTCATTTAATTCTGCTTTTGTGTTTTTGTTTTTTCCGCAATGCTTTAAAAAATCACAACTTTGATGATTTGACATGTGTATTAGAAACCGAAAAATCATCCAAAGGTGATTCAATTTTTTAGGAAAAGAGTAAAATACACAGATTAACTTGTTAACTTTGCTTTTCATGAAAATTATAATTCCCTTTCAACTTCACACCATGAATAATAAGTTTTGAGGATATTTGGTGGAAAGTAAAAACGAGAGTAACATATAATTGACTAAAAAACAACTACAACAACAATGTAAGTAAGCAAATTAATTTGGACATCATCTCACACTTACATAAACTTAATGCACATATTGTTGTTATTGTAATTTAATTCTCAGAAAAATTAGGTTTGGTTTGATGAGTTGCATGTGAAGCATGAGGTGACCTAATTAAGCTTGCTTCTTAAAATGATGTGGTAATATTTTCCACTTGTTATAGTTGATATTAATTGATGTCTTAAACTGTTGTGGTTAGAGACTCTTATCATGGTAGGGCAGTGGCTACTTGTGGAGGGACAATCTCCTGGTGAATGCATATATACTTGCGCCATTTCGTGTCATGTCATTTTAAGTGTGTACTTTAGACCACAGTTATTATAAGGTGGTCCTTTTTAAGTTATCGTGATTACTGTTTTTAATTAGTCCATTTATTATTTTTAATTTATAGAATAATTTAATTCAATTTTAATCTATTCACATTAAACTAAAAGTAAAAACAAAATAATAATTGTAACAGTGTATTTTTATATGTGGAAGTATTTTCACCATTACAAGCATTGCTCGAAGCTCCCACACCTGGGAGACAAATATATATAGGGAAGAAAGAGTGCAAAGACAACAAATACTAAATAAAGTAATAAAGATAAGATAAGATGCTATGTGTCGGCAATGAAATTCTAAAATCAACGTGTGCCTCTTAAATATCCATGTTTTCTTCTTGTTAAGGTCTAATCATTGTTATCTTCAAACTAAAAATAATAATAGTTTTAGAGGAAATGATAAATTATTGTAAAAAAAATAGTATAGTTATGAGCACTACGTGACGTTAGGAAAATTATAAACTCCTTTTAAATTTGTTAATTGATGAACATGAGAGTGATGTTTATTATACACGAAATTTCAAAAAGCAAATTGACCATCTTCCCACACATTTTATACTCGTCCAAATTCCATTGAATGATTAGTCGCTATACAAGTAGTTTATTACACAATGTTCCTCTTGTGTATATCTTTATAAAGCTGTTTTGTCTTATTGTGGAATTTTGAGTTTCACTTATAATTTGAAGCTTCTAACATTTTTATAACATAATCAAACTTCATTCTTTAGTCACATGTCTTCTTCTCTGCTTTTGTTGTTGTTTATAACATAATTTGAAGCTCCTTGTTTTCATTTCTACTAGTTGTGTAACTTGTTTTGCAAAATGTCTTATTCATGAAATTTAGTAATAGTAGTTGTAGACAGATTTCTGATATTCCCAAGTTTGATATGTAGATATTGTTTTATGAGAAATGCCATGAATTGGTCCCCTTCTGTGAACTTTTGTTTGACTTTATTTTTGTAGATAGCATATGGATTGAGAAGGCTTTTAGAGACATAGAAGGTAGAAAAGGGGCATCCAATGCTTAAAAGAAAGTAGTTGTAATTAGGTCACCCACTACTATTAATAATAATAAGAAAAGTGTTTGTTACCAACCAATTGTACAAAGAATGTGAGGTTAACTCAATAACAAGCCCCACAAACCATTAATTAGTTACATTGTATTCCTTTAAGGGGAAGGCAGAGAAAATGAAAAGACTATTACACAAATGTTAAAAGGGAGAGTGAGTGATTAAGTTAGGGAGAGGAAAAGGACTAGGGTCTAATTTTGAAGGTGTAAGTAAGGGTACCCTATCCCTTTCATTGCTTCATAATATATAATAAGTTGGACCTAATAAATGTTAGTAATGATGCATTAGATGTAGAATTTGATTCCATGTTTGTGGTCCCAAAGATATGACCTTTTTCTGCTAACTCAAAACAAAAACAGTATCGATGCCTCCAATAGATTCCACATCATCTACGTGTAACAACAATTTTTCATCACACACATAATTCATTGCTTCTTAATATTATAAGTGTTCAATCTGTTTCTGTTTATGACTATGATCAACCATGAATGCATTACATAGAAGCACAATTAGAAAGAAAGACTAACCTCTTCATTTTTAACATAAATTTCCCTTATATAAATTCCATATTCAAACTACTTCAAAAGTCACTATAATAATAATAATAATAATAATAATAATAATAATAATAATAATAATAATAATAATAATAATAATAATGATGATGATGATAACGTTACAGTGATATCGAATTTACTGTTATTAATTATGAAAAGCATGGTTAACATTAATTGAAGTGTCACTGCATGCCTTTTGTCTTGTAGAGGCATGAATTGGACAATAAATCACCGTCCAAGTTTGGGGAGGAAAAAGAGAGGTGGGCCCAATTGGATATACGTAGGCCCAACTGCTCCTCACATGTTACCACCATTTTTTAATTTTAAATTTTAAATATCAGAATTAGTGATGGTAATTTCAATTCAGTGATGAAATTAATAAAGTTGAGCATAAATAAGAAAGAACAGATAATTTCAATTAATAATGACATTTGACGGATTAAGCATGCCATAATCATGACTCAGCTCAGAACTTTATTTTATTTATACATATTTGTCATTACTTTCCAATATAATATTTTTAATATATTTAGTATATCGAATAAAAAAATAAGTTATATATTCAAAATGATATTCTATGTGTTATTTATACTAGTTCCAACTTTAATACTATTTTAATTTGTTAATAACGCTATATAAAATTGGGTATGCTAAGTTCAATTTAGTATAAGCATTTTTATTTTAATGTTAGTATCTAAAACATTATGTAACTAATTAACCCCATGATTATACTAAAAAAAAAAATCATAGTCAAAAACATTATAAGAAATACCACTTGTCACGCCAACGTTTTATAAAATATAATTATCTCTCTATACACATCTTATTTTTAGTTCTTTCTAGAAGTTGACTTTTTTTTTTTCAAATTAGCTATTACGTTTTTTTCTACCTTCTTTTAGACACAAACATTTTTTTTTCTATTGAATGTGTTGAAAAAAAAAAATCGATACGATGTAGCATCATTGTAATATTTAGTTACAATCACGGACTTAATAATTTATTCCTTAATGAATTACTTTTCATTATAAAATGAGTTATATTATTATTTATATTATTGTGCGCATGATATTATGATTTGTTGCTCTTATTGGCTTTGGTGCAGACGTTATTTTACGTCTTAACTTTTAAACAGAACGATTAAAACAAAAAAATTAAGAGTTATTTATACTCTTCTTGTCTGTCGTTTGATTTCATGATCTTGTCTTGTCTTATATAACCAATTACAGGCCTACCTCTAGCAAATTCGGTTAAAAGTGACCTACATTTCCACCTACTTCACTTTATTTTTCACGCATCATCAGTCTTAAATATCGTTATTAAATAATAAGTCATGCTTAGTATAATTTTTAGTTATTTATTATACAAATTTATATATATATATATATTACTTAATAAATAAATAATATTAAGAATATTTGTTCCTTTATTTTTAAAATAGAAGAGTAAAACAAGATGATTGTTTTTATGTATTTAGTAAGGTGTAACACTTTATTTAATCGTGAATGCTTAAACTGATTTTTAAGATATTATTCGTTTTGATGATTTTTTTCCCTAAAATATTTATTGGGTACACCTTCTTCATTAATTTGTTTTTAAATTTGGTTTGTTGCTACATCACCGTCGTTATGATACCTTCACTTTCCTTCCTTTTTTGAACTAAGCACCATTATTAAAATCACAATCTATTTCGATCATAATTAACCATTAACAAATTATCATTCAAATGAAAAAAAAAAAAAGTAAACAAAAGGAAGAGCGAGGTGTTTTTAGCAATGGTGCAATTCCCACGGGTATTTATGTAAAATTTTATACATACCAGTACAATTGACCCGACTTTTATTAATTTCTTAAACTATCGCAAAATAGAAATATAAGAATTAAAATATAAAAAATAACTAATTTTCGAAAGACTAAAATGTAAAATTTGAAGCATATAAACTAAACATAAAAAATGATTGTTCGTACAAAGACTAAAATATAAAACTAAAACACAAATGTAAAAACGATAGGAATTAAATAATTAATCAAACTTAATATCTTCTTTCTTCTCATGAAAAGTCAAATAAGAATAGTTTATATATTAATTATTATAAATTAATTTAAAATGATTATAAAAATGATTTTAAAAAAAATAAAATCTTATCTTATAGAATAATAATTTATAATTAAATAATGTAAAAAAATATATTGACAATATATTACTTAACTTTAATTATATATATTTTTCTTTAGAAAATAAAGTAATTTGACTTCAATATATTTTTATTAAAAATGAACAAAAGAAAAGGTATAGTTCTCCTAACATCTCAATAATGAAAGAGATTAATTACACTATAGAGTTTAATAAGTATAAAATTTGAGTACCCATAATTGCCTTCATAAAATTCACCATAGCCATGAAGAACTTTAATATAATTATTATAAAATTAATAAATTTATTAGAAATAATAATTATAGTAAGAATCAATTAATATTTAAACATAACTTATTTTTTCATAAAAATTTGATATACTTTTTATCTTTCCTATTTTTTCAGAATCCAAAGTCCAAATGACTAAAGGCAGAAAGTGTGAAGAGAAGAGGAGTTATGCATCCAAAACTGGATGTATGAATGTGTGGAATGCATCATCATCATCATCTACAACGATGACTTTGATGGACGCTAAAATTGAAAACAGAACAGAAAAATGGTGACACCACAAAAACACTCACATTTTCTTAGAAATTTCCAACACAAACACAAAAAGCTCTGCGTATGGGCCCACACACCTCTACCACACTGTCCCAACTCTCACGTATTCCTCTCCCTCTCCTGCCACACAATGACACCAGCACCACCACCAACAACGTTGTAAAAGTTTTTCCTTTCACTTTCCCAAAATCCCAAAACAACCTTCTCTCTCTTCTTTCTGCCACTTTTTCTCAGTCTTTAATGGCTGCCCGTATCAAAATTCCGCGTTAAACAATCGTGGGTCGGTGCAAGTTAGCATTTTTCCTATCTTTTGGGTTGTCAAAAAGATACCCAATAGGAAAAGTCTCGGTTTTCATTTTCTTATGGGCAAAACTTGCCATACCCCAAGCATTGTTCTGTGAGATTACAGTGTATCCTACCAAGCATTTTTTTTTTCTTTTACATGTTTCTCAGTGAAACTGAAGCTGAGGGAGAGTTTTGGTAATGCATATTGGATTTTGTTTGTGATGGAGTTTCAGTAAGCATGTTGTGCAAGAGTTTGCAGATTAGTGGGATGTTTTTGGGGGACTACTCCGTGGTGATGTGTTTTGTTGTTAACCGGGGCTTGGATGCTTGTTCTGTACTGTGTTAGTCCAGTGGTGAAAGAAGATAATCACTGTTGACTTCATTCATGATTCTCTTATGCAGCAATTATTTAGCTCTGCTAGAATCAGTGATTGTGCGATTTGGATTTGACCGTGTTGGGGCCAATCTTTTGTGTGTGTGAAGCTTTTATATGTGATTATCAAACTTTTCCATTACGGTTAATCATTCAACTTTCCTTTTACTCTATTGGAAGAAAGGAAGTATTCACTGAATAAGGGTGGCGAGGTGTCTCCGTTGGCCCCCCCTTTTTTTCCTTTTGGGGGAAGAGTGGACTGAAATTTTCAGCTTTTTCTGTAGAATCCGCTCTTGAGTATGGCCTGTGCAGGAAGAAAGAAGGCATTGATACCTTTCCCTCCAAAGAAATCTTATGTTGTTACTGTGAGATTCACTCAGTTGGGAAACTTGAGGGAGTGAAATTGGAATTCCGACATGCCTTGTGATTGGACTCACCGAGCTGGATCTTCTTTTTGCTCCTTTAGTTTGTGGAGACTAAAAGAGCCCGAGTTTTAGGTACTTGGTTTAATAAAATCTTATTTTCCTTTAAGTTTTTAGTTTTTCTTATATGCCTGAAATTGCTTAGCACTCAATCAAGTTGCATATTCTTCTGTTTCCACTGGAAAGCCAGATTTCTGTGCTCTAAGAGAGAAGATGATTGAGCTGATCGACTGTGTGAATGGGTTTCTTTTTTCTTTTTGGTGAATCCGTGTGAGTCAATTCAGTCAAGTTTAATAACATCCCTGAGAATTTGCCTTTAACTTAGCCCAACAGTGTCGTGACGAGCGATCATATAGTCGACTTCACCTAGAGGAATAAGGTTTATTTTGTTGTTACTGATGTTTAAATCCTTTAAACAAGAGTTGATTTGAACAATCTTGTTTGCTTGAAGAGATTAGTTTAGCCTACATATATTTAGCGCACAGTATTTTTACTTTGTTAGGGTGTTGTTGTGCAAGAACCATGACTTTGAATGGCATTGTTGACTTCATGTTTTTGTCCATCAGTCAGGTCACGCAAGAGGGGATTTTGTATGAACATAGGCAACATAAGGTCAATATTACGTTATTAGCATCCTGAGAAGAGGAAAAAGAGGAAAGAAGGAAATCAACTGTGACATTCATCATGACAAAGAGGTCCCAGAGATTCCCTGTGAATTATGAGAAAGACCAGTCAGGATGTATGTGGGGTTTTATTAGTATATTTGATTTTCGTCATGCCCGCTGTACTCGGAAATTGATAGCAGATAAGAGGCATGGAAGCAAGCATGCTCTTGGTAAGAAATTTTTAACATCTGAATTTGTAGTTCCAAAATTGACCACTTTGCATTTGTGTGTGTGTTTGTATATCCACGGGGAGAGTGTCAATATGCTAAAGGTATAGCAAAATGTGCTATGCTTAATAATTTGGAATGTAATTTTTTTTAATATACTTCTGTGTAATGTTATATATCTTTTCTAGGGTCATGTGTGCTTTTAGAAGCAATGTAAACAAATCTTTATGCTTTCCTTGTGTATAATTATCTTGTCATAATTTGTGGTTCAACTGTGCTGCATTAGTGGAAAAGAATCATAATAATAGTTGGATTTCATTCTGTTTTCTGCAGGTGCTGCACTTACCAAGAACAAGTTTGAAGTGTTGAGCAATTTGGATGAAGACTATCAAGGCAATTTCGTAAGTCTGTCCATCCATATACTTGTGTAACTCATGAATTTTTTCTCAGCCAAAAAAATAGAAGTTTGATTACATCAAATTTTGCAAAATTCTCAAGTAACTTTAGGTTATCTGTCATGTGCTGAAGGCTTATCTTTGTGGTGGTATTATTATATCATCTATGTTTCAGGACAGGGGAGAGAGTAAGAGACTAACACTGACAACTGATGGTGATAAGCTTAGTGTGAAGAAACTGATAGAAGAAGAAATGATCATTGACCAGGATGAAATAAAGGATCAAGGTAAAGAGTTTGTAGAATCAAAGCAAAAGCAATCCAGATTAGGGCGTGAAGATCCTCCAAAGAAAGATTCCAAAAGGAAAAAGAAATCTCGCAAGAAAAACCGTGATATGGGCAGCCGTGATTTGAATTCAGATGCAACCTTGAAATCTGAATTTTTACACAAGCAGCATTCAAGGGATCAGTCAAAAGATACTCTAGATTTGGACGAAATAATGAATGATTTTTGTCATGTTGAAGCTGCTTGTTCCATGATGAATGACGATGATTGCAAAATTGATGCACAGTCAAACCAAAAGAATGTTATGTCTGAAAACCTTGCTAATGCAATCCATGAATTTGTGAATCAGATGAGATTGAATGGTAAAGATCTGCCTGAAGATGGACAATTCCTTAGCTCACATGAACTCATGGAAGCACTTCAGGTTATAAGTTCAGATAAGCAATTGTTCCTTAGACTTCTTCAAGACCCAAATTCACACTTGCTGAAATACATTCAGGAGTTGGAAAATGCTAAAGGGGGAGATGGCAAAATATGCTCTTCACTTAGTGGCTCCAACTGCTCTGAACAAGAACTTGTTAATCTGAAACAAACTAGGGAGAGTGCCAACCGTAAGCATCTTAACTTTTTCAGGAAAAGGGGGAAGTCTCAATCAAAAAATGCAACAAATGAAAATGGGAAAACTGAGTTTTCAAATAGAATTGTCATTCTGAAACCTGCACTAACAGGCATGCAAATTTCTGAAAATGGAAGCAACCTTGCCTCATCTCTAGATTCTCATGATATTGCCCATTACAAAGGCCCTTCTGTGAGAGTTGGTTCTCATTTTTCTCTTACAGAAATAAAAAGGAAACTGAAACATGCTATGGGAAAGGAGAGGCATGGAAACCCTGAAGTGATATCACGAAAACTCCCTGTTGAACGTCAAAATAAGGTGCCAAGAGGCAAATGCAAAGATAATACTGGAATGAGATCTCCTAATAAAGACCATTTCTTCATTGAAAAGATTGCAAGACCTATGTTTGATGTTGTGAAAGGAAACAAGACTGATACATTGAAAGACTCCGAATTGAACGTGCAACATGAACGTGGTATTCCCAAGCAAAGTGCTTCTAACATATATGTTGAGGCTAGGAAACATCTGTCTGAGATGCTAGATAATGCTGATGAGAACACAAACATTTCAAGCGGGCAGATTCCCAAGACCCTTGGGAGAATACTTTCTCTTCCCGAGTACAACTTTTCACCTGTAGAAAGTCCTGCAAGGAATTTGGAAGATCATTCTGTGACTGCACCGGCCAGATTTTCTTCCTCAGGCAAAACTAGCGAAGTTAGTGATGATAATTTGTCCCCAAAACCCGCAAACTCTAGTGGTATTCCAGATCAGGAAACTTCCAAATCAGAAAAACAGTCAAGCATTTGTGATGAAATCTCTAATAATAAAGTACAGGAAATTAAGTCAATGTCAAATTTCTCCCATGATGATGGTATTGTTGATTCATCTGAAGCCTGTTGTCCTATCAAAGATGAGATAGTTATTGAAGGTACCGTGTTCAACTTCATAGTACATGACCGATGCTATGATAAGCTTTCAGTTTGTATGCATGTTTATATATATGTTTTTCATATATCATTTCTTGACTTTTATGCAGACAATGTTGCATCTGCGGAAGAGAAAAATAAATTGAAATCATTTTTGGATCCAAATGGCTTCATAATAGGAAAGAACCAAAATATTGATATCTCAGAAATTCAGGATGGTGCACAATGTTCTGGATGTTTGAATCAGGTAATGTCACGTAGTACATTATACTTTTAGGTAAATAATTTGGGAATGAATAGACTATGAGGGTAGAAATATAGTCAAAGTAATATAATGGCTCCTAAAGATTTCTTCCACAGCCCCTATATCTATAATAAGATTTTATTGAAAGTCTAAACTATCATTAGATTCTTTTACAGGATATAATAGAAGAGAACAAACTATCATCTCTCCCTTCGTCTCCTCACTCTTCGATCACTAAGAAAAATGAAGAGCTAGACTGTGGGACAGATATATCCGGGCGACCAAGTCCTGTATCTGTTCTTGATACATCATTTTCAGATGATGACTTTGGCCCTGGACACTCCAGATGTCAACCTGGTAAGCATTCCTGCACTAGAACCTCAAAGGGCATCTCTGGCTATGTTCTTAGAAGTTAAAACCATATCTTAAAAACAAGATCTAGAAACTGTTTGTTGCAGTTGTTCTATTGTCTATAAACTCTGAACTAGAAGTAGAAATAGAAACAGGATACTGGTTGCTGGGGTTTTTCTATCGTACTACATCAAGAAATCTACTCTCTCTATAAACTAGAGTACACAACTTGGAGGGTGAAACTCTCTTTTCTGACTCTCAATTAGTTCATTATCTATATTCTTTATCTCTTTGAGCAAGAGTTACTCTCACAATCACTAAAGAGTAGAAATGTTTTCTCAGTCTCATCTTCAGTGTTATATTTTACTTTGATTTTAAATTGAAAAATTATAATAGAAAGTTATTATTAAAATTAAAATTTTCAAGCAAAAAAATAAATTTATCCTTGTATAATGTTATCTATGTCCTTTTTTGTTTATTTAAAATATAGTGAAGCTATAAAAAACTTCTTAATATTACAAAAGTTTGAAATTTCTTCTTATATAATGCTATTTTTTTAAATTACAACAAAAAAATTAATACCTTAAAATGTTTTCTTATCCTTCAAATGTCTTTATTTCAGTTTTAAAGTAAAATAATTTTTTATACTTGTTTCTTTTTAAGTTTTCTCAAAAGTATTAATGAAATATGAAAATTAACCACATATTGTATGAGTTAAAATGCTAGTTGATCCAGAAAGAGTCAGTCTCGGATATTTGTATGGATTCACATTCTTGTCCCTTTTATTCTCTACAGATGAAAAAAGTTGGAACTGTTTGGGATTGACAGACTAACCCTTTTTATTTGTCATATTAATTTTAATTATTTTCAGTTAAGTTACCAGTACAACCTCTACAAATTCAATTTGAAGAACACGATTCTTCACCTGCAGAGCAATTTGACACGGGAAAATATAGTTTTGAAGAAAAGGAGTTGATATATGACTACATCAAAGTTGTCTTGCATGCCTCTGGTTTGACAAGAGATCAGTTGATGGTGAAATGCCTTACCTCTGACAAGATAATAGATCCTTCTTTGTTTGATCAGGTAGAGTTCTTCTCGAACCTGCGTTGCCACGATCGGAGGCTCCTATTTGACTCTGTCAATGAAGTTCTCATGGAGGTTTGCCAGCATTACTTTGGGGTCTCACCTTGGGTTTCATTTGTATATCCTAGCATGAGGCCAGCTCCAAGTATGAAAAGGGTTACATTCAAGGTCTGGGAAGGAGTGTGCTGGCATGTCCTTCCCTTGCCCCCACCTCGCACTTTGGAGCAAATTGTTAGGAAAGACATGGCAAAAAGGGGAACTTGGATGGACCTTGAACTTGATGCTGAAGCAATTGGTTTTGAAATGGGAGAGGCCATTCTTACTGAACTGATGGAAGACACAATCTTGAGCCTTGTGAGTGAAAGTCCAGAGAGTAAATGTTCTGTGCTTCAATTTGAGTTGAAGGAACAATGAGAGCAACTTCCACTCGTGAAAGACTACTCCCTGTCTTTTGATCATGCAAAATTTAAGGGGATTCCTATGTGTGAGGTGGAAGGGAAGTTAAGAGGGGATGAAAATTGATAAACAAGAATAGTGGAGAGTTATAGACTTCTTTAAAGCATACTTGGGACCTTGGTACTGTTTCTTTTCACCCTACCTGACTATTTTGATATTGGATAGTGTAATGTGAATGAGGATACTAAATAAGGAACAAGAAGTAAATGAGGAGCCAGTGGCAATTGCTTCTTGCAAAAGTGGAAAATCTAGGCTTGTTTACATTGACAAACAGACAAAGCAACAGTCTTATTGAGAGTGACTCACTTCACCCAGTGAAGGCCAAAGGTGTTTGATTGTAGATTTTGTAAAGTTTGATTTGCTGATCCCATTAGATGGTGTGTTATAATTTTGTTTGTATCATCCTTTGTATATTTGCTTTTTTGGTTAACCTATTGATTTCACAAAGTTATGAAATAATGTACACTCAGCTTTCTGTGGTTTGTAAGGAAAGAACTGAGAAGAAATATGAACGGCACGTGATGATAAAGAAACTAGGAAGCAGCCTGTGTGAATTATTATTGTTCGTGCTTTTGCTTCTTTTGTTGGCTGATCTCAACCGAATTTCACACTTGTAGATATGCTATATAAAACTTAGGTTTACATGCCAACATGATAAGTATAGTTTTATTAAGTACGTTTAGTTCAAATAAATAATGACGCTTCTGTAGTGTTTTGCATATGTTAGGGGTGTATGCGTTCCACAATGTTTTGCAAATTGAGTGTTTTAATTATATACTGTAAGAAACGTCAGTTTTCTTCTGAATGCCCAAGTTCAAGCTAAATAGTTGCTATGTTTTTATAAACATTGTATATACTGGCAAAATATAAATTGAAGTATTTGTAAATTAACAGTTTGAACAAATGTGTCAATGAGTAATTAGCTAAGTAGAAATAACTAAGGTTTTTTAAAATCGGATTGATTATTAACCGGTCAAATCATAGTTAAAAATTTAAAGATTTAATTAGAATTAAATTGAATTTAATAAAATAATATTTTTATAATATAATAAATATATAATAAATTTATTAATAATAGTATTTTTATAAAAAAAACAAACTTACTGTCATAATTATTGTAAATTTCAATAAATTATGAATATAAAATATATTAAAAATAAAAATTATTAAAATAAAATAAAAATATAATAAAATAATAATGATTGAAAATTAACGTAATTTATAAGAGATAAAAAAATTAAAATATATTATATATTTTATAAAAAATTATATTAAAAAGTTTGATCTTAAATATTTATTTTTACCAAAACTAATTTGACTTAAAAAAATTCAGTCTATTTTTTCAATTTAGTTCTAATTTTGTCCTGTTTAACTAAAATCGATGATTTGAAAACAACTTCCCAGTTTCTAGTCAGGTTTCGGTGTGACTGATTGATAAGGTGCGACCCACTGATATGATTTTCAAAACAGTAATAACTAATAATTAATGGTATAAAACATCACAAATATTCATCCAAGCATTTCACGTAGAAAATGCTTTTATTCAATTGGTTAAGTCACTATAGGTTTGTATAAAGAAAATTTCTGCTAGTATTTTCCATTCACCATAACAGTCCCAATGCTTAAAAGATCTCACCAAGAAATGATTCCTAAAACTGATTTACCAATGAACACCACATATTTTATGCACCAAATAAAAACATAATGGAGGAGACAAATTGCATATAAATACCAGTAATCTGTGTCCCCGACAAAAGACACCAATTCCTCATGGAAATCAGTATCAATTACATGTAAAAGTATATATGCCAATAGATATCCTTAACACCTTAAGAGGGTAGTAGAAGAAGCAGTCAAAAGTGGGCACTAGGACCTGGTTGAATCCAGTATCAGGTAGAGTTGGATGCCAATAGAGTAGGCCATAATGCATAAGCTAGTAAAATCATATTCTTTCGTCAGGTATGTAACCATGTTCGATGAAATGTCCAAGGACTTCAATTAAAGCAATCTATTACACTTGTTGTGAAGCCAAATTCCAGTAAGGTAAATGCAAAATGTAATACTTTACAGACTTACAGCAAAAAATAACTCATTAGTAAATGTCACTTCTGCTTCTTATTTCGCAATATAGACGAGGTCAAAGGTACTGTTGCCTTCCTCTTAGTAAACGCATTAGTTCGGCTATCTACATCCTCGCTGTCTTCATAGTCATCTAAAGCACCACTCGCAATCGTTGCAGACTCTTTAGCAATATTAGCTGCTTTTCTTTTTTCAGTATTCAATTTGGCATACAACTTCATTTCGACAGGGTCATCGGAAGGTACAAATTTTGATTGGCGTGAAACTTTTGCACCTAGACCAAGCCTATAAAGTTGTGTGATAGTACAACATAAGCAATATTTATCATGACAGACAAACAAACAAGTGAATCATAAGCAATAAATTTTCTACTGACCCGGAAGGTCGACCCTCTAGATCTGCATTTGTTCTATGATCATCTGCATCTTTGCTCATATTATTTACCCATAACTCGGCCTGTCGATCAGAATGGTTGACATTTATGTACAAGCAGCAAATTAACAATATTTTGATATAAATCAAGAGGAGCAAATCGCTCAGAAAGATGGAAAATCACTTTATTTTGATATGTAAATCAAGTGGAGCATAGTTCAGAAAGATGGAAGTCACTTTAGTATGTAATAAGCTCCAGTCAGCAAGCTACTTTACTAACCAGTCACACACGTTTAATACAATGTTCATTATTGTTAGTGTAAGGTAATAATATGCATGAATGCACATACTGCATAAAATGATTTACCACCCATTTGACAACCACATAATATGTATGGCAAGAGGGGTAAAAATAATTTACCAGTTTCAAAGCCTTGTCCAACTTAACAATTTGAGGAGCACCATTTTTCTTGGATGTTTCTGAGACACTCATTTCAAGCTCTTGCCCTGATATATTGAAAAGAAATAAATTAATATACACTCATACTAATTTATTTTAAAAACAAAATATTTAAAAAAAGATTTGCTTCCAGATATGCTTTCCCTAACAAATATAATATATTCCCTAATTCAACCAGCCCTTAAATTTTAGAATTCCAATATAAAGGTTCCCACCTAGAAGGATGTGGAGAGTGTAACCTTACTCACAAGTAGGGAGGTTTGTAGGATTTGAAGTTGTGAACTCCAAATCACAATACTAGTCTTGCAGGGGGAAAAGGCATTTTTTAAACAAATTTCAAACAAGTAAAAGCTTTTTCATAATTTTAGTTTGGATGAAATATTTAGCCTCCTAATAGTTAATATCATAAAGTTTTCTTTACTCAGTATTTATAAAATCTAACAAAACAATATTTCTAGTGCTTCAGCTTCACACAAAAATATAACCAGAGAAACAGTCGAAAAATGAAACATTAAGAATATCTATTTCCAGATATCATCTATCTATCCGAGCTCCTGGTCTAGGAGCTTCTATTCGTAGTTCATAGTGTGTACTCGCATGGACGAAGATTGGACACAGTGGAGAGAGAATGAGGGATGGACGAAGGAGCACAAAGAAGAAAAGAGGGCCGAAGTGTGTGAAAAGGAACTCCACGAATCACATCACAAACTGCACGAAGCCTGAATGAAAAAGATCAAAGATCTCGTAGAAAACTTGATGCATTTGTCTAAGAAGGGAATTAACCGGCGAAGTTCTTTTCCAGTACACCAGAACAGAGCATAAATAAACTCACACATGTAATTACAGAGCGAAAATGCATAGCCATTGACAAAGCAGAAATGCCCTCACCCTCACTCACCCAAAAAAAGAATTACCTGCGAACTAAGCAGACCACCGACGAAGCGGGAGCAGGGGTGCACAGGAAGGAAGCTGCAGAAGAAATCACCAGGCCAGCGGATGGAAGCTGGCGGCACAAGGGAGCGAGAGGAAGTCCGCCACGCACACCTGCAGCTCCGTCCCGTCTGTTAGAGGGAGAGGAGAGCTTGGCCGAGAGAGCGTGTGAGAGTGGAGAGATGAGAGGCGAATGAGAGTGAAAGAGAGAGGCAGGCACGCACGCATAGATCAGAGAAGAGAAGAGAAGGAAGATAGATGATGATGATGATGAAGATTACGCGAGAGATATTGAAGAGGGGATGGGTTTAAAATTGAAATCCCTAAATCCTTTTTTATTATTTTTATTTTATTTTAACTAAATATTTTATATTATGTTTCTTTCTCTGCTGCTATATATTTTTTACGTGCATTCCATTCCTATGTTTTTTTTTTTTCTTTAAGATGATACTACTTCGTGAGATTTATTTGAATATGAGATAACATAGATTTTAAAATGGATTGTAAAAAATTATAGATTTTAAGGTGTCCATTCGAAATATTATAAAATGTTATAGATTCGAAAATAATAATCCAAAAAAGTATCTGGATATTAAAAAAATTACCGTTTTGAAAATTGGATAAAAATCAATTTAATAAAAAAATATTTAAAAATCAATTTATTATTTTTAAATAATCAAATTTCAATTAAATAAAAATTTGATATAAAATTAATAGACTAACTTTTTGAGGGAAATTAATTTTGATAAAAATAAAATTTAAGGATAATTTTTTAATATATTTTTTCATAAAAGATATATATATATATATATATATATATACACATATATATACACACTATATATATATATATATATATATATATATATTTTAATTTTTATTTTATATAAATGATATTAATTTTAAATAAATAATTATTTTATCATATCTTTATCATATTTTAATAATTCATCTTATATTTTTTAATATATTTTATATTTATAATTTTTATTATAATTTACATTAATCATGATAATAATTTTTATTATTTTTCTTTTTTTATAAAAAAATTATTACTGATAAAATTATTATATACTAATTATATTATAAAAATATTATTTTATTAAATATAATTAGATTATTTAAATCTTTAAAGCTGAACCTAAATCTTAACCATAAAAACATTGAAAAAAATAATACTATTGTTCCACAACCAGATTGTGCGATTGTGGATTTCAGTCACCGAAGTTACTGCTATAAATGCTCAAAGAATGTGAAAATTGTCTTCTGTCCTTAGTACATCTAACAACTCTGATTCAAACATTTACAAGTAAATTTATTTTCATATAATCATCAACTGTCTCTCTTCATTCTACTAAAGAAGCAAACATATAGTTTACAAAAGATTGTTGGATGGAAAACAACAGTGTTAGGATGCAGTTGTAAAGAACATCTCTGTAGTTTCTAAACCTCTCGATTCCTCATTGATTTATCTACATAAAGAACATCTTCAATCCATGCAACAATGTTGAATGCTAGGCCTTCCAAAACTCTAGAGTAACTCTCTAGTACTGCTTTCCCTACATCCTGCAAAACATAATCACATTCTTAGTCCATGTTCTCAAATTCAGAATATGAAGTACCTGCTTGATAATCTTGCTCAGCTATTTTTAAAAAAATTCCAATCTACTCAATAACAACTTTCATCCAAAGTCTATTAAATTTCAAAACTGTTTTCAAAACAAGTGTTTTCAGTGTTCAGCTCTGAATGCTGCACAAATTATACAAATTCATAGTTTACTACACATACCCGGTTGTATTGAATCTTGCATGTGTCCAAAGAAGTTTGTGAAAGTTCAGGGTATTTTTGCTTCAGGCAAAGCAATAAGGACTCGGCTCTCTCAGCTAAGGTGTAGTTTTTGTCCTTACAGTCTGTGTCTTCCATGAGGTCCTTTACTTTGCTCCACGATGACTTTGAACGGCTCAGACAAGCTTTGCGTCTCCATGTGTACATTGATGATTCAACCCTGTCTGTTAACTCAAGTGCTTCATGTTCAGAACTTATTTTGAGACAGTCAAGAAGTTGTTCAGGTGAGAACTTGTCTGCATTATACATGTAGTGGTAAATTGAGTCCCCTAGACTTGATCTTCCACTCTGAAGACATTCGTGTTTGAAAAGAGCAAATGAAGAAAGATTAGATAAAATCATTTTTATAAAAGTGATGTAAATGCATATACTATTTATGGTAACATGTAAACTATTCTTCTCCTGCATTAACTAAATCAGTCATTGAATTTTAATGATTAATTTCAAGGGAATAGGCATAAGATTAATAAATCTAATCGGATTTGATTGCTATTGGTACCTTAATTGAAACTATATCATCCCGTTTTCTACAAGACTCAGCTGCTATTATTGGCTTCCATAAAAGGCTTATGAAATTTGATGATAAATTCCAAGACATTTGCTTTATGGGGTCACATTTAATTGAATCCTCAATCACTTGGCAATAGAATTTCAGCTGGAAAAAATGAGATGCAGATTTGTTAGAGATGCAGTTGTTTAGAGGTTACTTACTTTACTACTTGGTTGGAGATTGATTACTATTTAGTTAGTTATTTTCTACTTGGTTATTCATATGGCTTGATGTAGGTTTCATGTAATTTGCCTTTACTCATTCAATCAAATACCAATTTTATTTTTATCTGTATCTCTCTTTTCAACTTTATTTCATAACAAGACTCATCCTGAGATCTCAACTTTCAGAAACAGAAAATATTTATTATCGATGAGGACTAACCTTGGGAAGATTATCTATGTAATTTTCCGGTATATCTATTTCCGCAAGAACATTGCTGTTTATTGCCATGGCTGCTTTATGAATTTGATTAGCACAATCCCTTTTCTCTATCAGATGCTTTCTTGACATGTCAGAGAGGCCACCAGGAAGAACACAAGGAACTGGCAACCACCATTTCTCATCTTTCCTTGGAACAATTCTTCGAAATGATGCCCCACGTAATCGACTCGAATTCCCTGGTATGTTCTCTGCATACCAAAATTCAGTGTCCTGGAAAGTATCTAATATTTCCTGCAAAAAATGTTATGTTTATAATTTAAGTCACAACAAGAAGTCTTGATGAAAACTGAGATGTTATATGCAAGAAGCCATTGAGGTTTGTCTTACTATGAGCATTGTATCAAGCTTCTGCAGTGCAGGGAGGTTGATGTAGATGTCTGACCTTGGCCTACTTTTCATAATCTGAATGAGAACATCAGATGCTGTTATGTACATTTAGAGATGCCAAACAAAATCCATTGAAGTTATGGTTATCATTTAGCAAACTCACCTCCACAATTGTGCCATCTTCTAAATATTGTGCAGTTGGAGCAAATTCTTGTATGTAGTCACACACTGATAAGAGAACCTTCATTTCCCTTTTCCACATAGCCTTCTTCTCAGGCTTTAGTGGTTCTAACTTTAAACTTTGTCCAAATATAGTTGCTGCAGAAATCCCAAATCAAATAAATAATAAATTTCACAAACACATGAGAAATGCTGGGAACTTACAATCTCACTAAAGCATTCCTTTCAACACCCTAATATAAGTTAAATTTTACTGAAACTCATGAAATGAAACAGGTCTCACTTTTTTTTCGAAAGAGGGTGTTCGAAGGTGTATTGGTTACATTTCTCAACAAATAAATAACCATTTTATATGGCTGTGCTATCGAGTATTGATACAATTAAAAAATTACCATAGAGATTGGTAATGGAATTTGAGATTGTAACTGCAGTACAAACACCTTTCCCACTACCAGACATGTCTTCTCCCAGCAAAAGCTTTGCAAATCTTTCTTTCATCAGTTCAAGCTCGGCTAAAGTGGACAAAATTTAACCAATCACTATTAGAAGTTGTATTGTACTCATTCAAAGTGTCCTAAAGCATAACAAATGGTTACACAACCAATGAAAAGTGCAAAACCACCTGAATCCAAGAGATCATTGCCATCAAGTTTATCATCAATTGAATGCTTGCGCTGCTTCATTCCTATCTTTGAAAGAACATCTTGCTTAGCCCTCCACCGAGAAGGAGAAGGTTCACTGGCATAGCTACTCTCATCTACAGTCTCAGACTCTGAGCTTGTCCAAGTTTGGCAGTATGCAAAAGAATCTGCACTCATTGGGGAAAAAGCAGCAGTATGGGAAGGTGAAGGGTGATAACCCGCCTCAGAATTTTCATCAAAGTTTGATGATTTATCCATCTTAGCTCAACAATATGTGATTAACTTCTTCAAAAACTGCACATAAACATGAAGCTCACGTCACAAGTTGAGCTTGTGGACTCTAAATTTTCAATACTTTGTGATCACTGAGACATACTATATAGGATGTAAAAGCATGACATAGAACTTAGCTTAAAACATACAATTTTCATTGAAATCAAACTAAAGGTATAGAAAACAAAAGGGAAAAAAGCGTGATCAAAAGAAAAAGCAGATTAATTTGAATGTTCTTGTCTTGTACTATAGAGAGAAAAAAAAAAGAAAAAAAAAGAAGAAAAAGAAGCAAATCTCCCCAAAAATGCTTCTTCTATTGAGACTCAAAATGCTTCACAGAAGAACGCAGCAAAAGGGTTGTGAAGGGAACAAAAAAAAGGCAATGTTGGACAACTTTCCAAGGTTGAAGCTAACTGAAATTCAAAACTTCAAAGATAACGGTTGGCCATAAAGGAACGGTCCCCAGCATTGTTTTCGATGTAACCTTTTAATGCATTAGATTTGAATTTGAAGTTTGAACCATAACTAGTTAAACCAGGTTTGAAACAGTTCCCTCCTAAGCGTTTGCACCTTTTTCATCTTCCCCTGAACACTTTCCATGCAAAAAGCAAAATTATTGGCCTCCTTCTATGGTAATGATAAATTGATCATTGAATTGTCCAACTAAAAAAGACAGACCAAGTTGCAGAAATTGCTCAATTCTTGGTAGATTCAGAGGACAAATCCAAGGCATGTACTAGTTGAAAATGAAGCTAAGATAATCTTCAGGCATTTTGCTACAGGGTCTGTGCACAAAATTAAAACTTATAAAAATAAAAAAGTTACACGCACTGATAAATTTGTATTTTTTCTATACTTATATTTAAATAAACATAGATGAAAGCAAGAGAGGAAAAATAAAATGTTATACAAAATGTTAAAATATTATAGAAATTGGAGAGTCGTTTGCATATACTTTACAATTGTATTTTAATAAACAAACAAAGTAAGAAGGAAGAATATGAAATTAGACAAAATGCTAAAATATTAGAAAATGGAAAGTCTTCTGCATATACTTTTGTATAATTCCATTTAAATAAATTTAGATGAAGTAAGAAAGAAATAATATAAAAAAGTTATACAAAATGTCAAAAATATTAAAAAATGGAAAGTCGTTTGCACGTACTTTTGTTTTGAATTTGAAAATATTAGAAAGAAAGGAACGTGGTTTGCATCAGGAAGGCAACTACAAAACCCCTACTTTAGTTCAAAATTATTAAGTAAGCACTTTAATACTTCTTCCCTATATTTATAATCATTTATTAATTGAGATTAATAATAATTTATATTTTTTTCTTTCAATTAATCAAAATATTTGTTTTAAAGATAAAATCATAACTTATTAAAATTTTAAAATAAACAATTATTAATCATAATCAATAATTTTAGAATATCAAATAATATATTATTAATAAATAATAATAAAAATTTACCAATTATTTTTAAAGAAATTAAATAATATTATTAATTATTAAAATTTTAAATGTAAATTAAAATATTATTTTTTCATAGTTTTTTATAAATTAAAATGTCATCTTAGAAACAAAATTATTTGGTGCTCCCAATTTTCAAAAACCAAAATATTTGACAATTTTGTTATGACATTTCAATTCATCACATATCTGATTTATGTGTATATATATAAAAGGATAAACCCATTATAACCAAATGATTGAGAATGTGCATGTAGTCCTATAAAACCACTTGTTTGAAAACCTGTATGGGATTGCCATGAAAGTTGATGAATTATGATTAAGATGCAGTTGAATGTGAACGACAAGAACCACAAACAAGTTGCAGGATTTACACAAATTCAATGATTTCCGAAACAGTGTCATTTTAACAGGTACTTTTTTCCATTATCCCAGAAACATATAATATATGTACTCATCATCTCTTCTAGCTGTCTACATTTAATATTGTTTTTTGCCAATTTCCTATTCTTCATGGAATTTTAGTATTATTGATGGGTTGTTTGGACCCAGTTAGTCAGAAAGCCACACATGTGTGAATAATATTAAAACTGATGAAAAACAAAAATACATTAGTTTTGTTTAAATGAATCTTTATTCGACGTTTTGTTTTTTTAGTGGTTGAAATAATTATAAATAATTATTTTATCATAGTGGCAGCTAATCATATGCTATTGTTTAGAATACAATTTTGTGAACGTGGATCCCATTTCTCACCGCAGTCTATGTTGCCTTGCTCAATGTCAAGTTCAGACCAATTTTACATACATGATATGCATTTCAAGGTTGCATTTATGTGTTATGTGTTTAAATGTTGGTAACATTCTTTTAGTGAAAAAATTAATCATCTTATTTTTAGTTTAAAAACTATGAAAGATTAAGAATTTGTTTGATTTAATTTATCTTGTTTAGTTTTTAAAAATAGTTTAAGAGATTCATTTAAAAAAAATTGTATAAGTTGAAAAAAATTATTTACATAATTTTACAATTATAAATTATTTTAAATGAAAGACAAATTATGATTATTCAATAAATAATATTTTTTAAGAGAAAAATTATTTAAATAAAATCTTTATCAATTTATTTATTCAATTACATCGATTGACTATTCATACAAAATTTTATTATAAAAAAAATTGTATGACATGATATAGTTGTTTATTTTCTTCTTTTTTTCTTTTTTTTTCTTTTTTTTCTCACCTCTCTCTTATTCTTCTAATTAAAAATATCAGATTGAAATTTGATAAAATGGGTATTTTATTATTCCTATAAAATAAAAATATTTAAATTATTGAAAATTATTATATTAATTTTTGACATGATACAAATATTATAATTATGTTGTAATAATTAAGAAAAGTTTCAATATTAATTTTAAAGTAATTTTTTTACTAAATATTTTTTTAGTTACTTACTCTGACTAATCATGATAATTCAACATAATTATAATTAAATTACTAAATAAAAATAAATTTAACTTATAAATGTTTTATGTATTTTAATTAGATAAATAATTAATTTATTATGATAAAATAATTTTAAATTAATTATTTAGTATCATAATTTAAATAATTAATTGATATTTTTAGTTTCAATGTTGATGTTTAAAATAATTACTTTAATATATTTTTATTAAATTTTAATATAATATTTTTAGTTAGAATAAGTGAGAGATAAAATAGAGCAAAAGAATGTGAGATGGAAAGAGAAAAAAATTGCACAAGAACCATAAATACTTTAATTAGATAAATTAATAAAAATTATATTTAAATATTTTTTTTAAGTATATTATTTATAGGATTAAGTAGAAAAATTTCATAGATGATAATGAAAAATTGCGATAAAAGTTGAAAAATGATTTTGACAACTTTACCAGCACGAGTAATTTAATATAATTATTAATAAAAATCTGGAATAGAGTTAAAAATTTTAAACGAGGAACTAATATATACAATTAATTATCATATTAAAAAATATATTATATAAAATATATACAATTAATTATCATATTAAAAAATATATTATATAAAATATTCAACAGCATGTTTAACATTATTGAATTTAAATTTGGAAACTATAATTTATTTATCATCTATTTTTTCTTTTCTCTTAAAAAAATTTGAGTATAATTTTTTTCTTAAACATTTATAAAATTCAACCTAATTTTTTTATTACACATTTTAACATAAAAATATAATATTATAAAATATAAAAACAACTAGCTAATTTATAACAAATATTTTTTTTATATCAATATTTCATATTTTTATACTATAGGCTAATTTATTATAACAAAAAAAATAAAAACAATAAAAAAGTAGTTTTTCTTGTTGCTTCTTTATTTAAAAAAAAAATTATTGTGTAGTCTTTTTATTTTTTAACTCCTTATCTTTTTTCAAGGTGAAAAAAATAAAAAACAAAAATTATAATTTTTATGTTATAAAAGTCAAATTACAACAAAGAAAACATTGAAATTTAAAGAATAAAAACTTACAAATTTTTATACTATAATGTAAACTTATCAAAGAGAAAAATATGAAAAATGAATGAACATTAAAGAAAAAGTTAAAAATATGAAAGAGCAAAATGTATAAAAAGTTGAGGTGAGAAAATGTATAAAAAGGTGAGAAAGTAGATAGAGTGGGAGAGAAAAAAAATACAAAAAGTCTGAATATAAAAGGAGAAGAGAGAAAATTGTGTGACTGAAAATTATGGGAGAGAATAAAAATAATATTTATTATAAGTAAAAAGATGAGAGAAGAAAAATAAAAAAATAATTTCTATTGTAATATATATATATATATATATATATATATATATATATATATATATATATATATATATATATATATATATATATATATATAATTTGGTGGAAATGTAGGCACCGAAATTTCTCATATTTTATGAGAATATTGTTGTAATTTTCTTATGAAAATAGTAAGAAATATACTTAATCTTGTTAGGTATAGGTGCTTTTCTTCTAGTATTCAAGGTTCTTTATTTTAGAAGTATGTATGATACATGGGCTAGGGGAGGATATGTAAGAAAAATAACTAATTTTACCCTTAGTTCAAGTATTCTATTTTGGATATTTATTAAAATCACCTTTTGGGCGCGAGGGGTGAATTGTTAGTGTGAATGATTTGGAAGATATAATTGGAAGGTATGTATGGTTGAGTTTTATTTGTATATTTGGTGGAATCTGACATATCTTAACCAAATCCTTTACATGAGTTCGGTGTGCACTTGTTGTGAGAAGAGAAGTCCCACATCATGTATTTGATACTTACTATAAAATAAGCGCAGTGTTTACCTTGTAAAATATACCAAAATTACTTTCTTTTTTTTCTCTTGTTGCTTTAGTACTTGAAAGATAAATTAAGAGAGAAAAATAATTTCTCCTTTTAGGTTCTCTTAGAGTTGTTTTTCCTTTATTTTCAGGAGAGAGTATTATCGTTTTCTCCTTAGAGG